ACACACTTTACTTATTTTACAGCTTTAGTTACTAGTTTACGCACAAACATCTAATCAACAAATAAAGTAAAAAATGCATTTTAATAGAGTAAACAGCAGTCAGAATGAGAAATCAGCAATTATGTGTACATGTACAGGAATCTGACTCTGGTTTTAGGTTGTTCTCAGTTTTACACACAGTTCCAAGAACAATTTAAGGGAGGTAGAAATAGACATCAAAAAGGGTATATGTTCAGTTCAGTTCAGTACAGTCATTTTATTATCCCAGATGGGAAACTGGAGTTGCAGTCAGGGGTACAAACTCGCACACAACACAAGAGCAGACATAAACAATATACAGTAAACCCTAATACAACAACAACAGTGCTAAAAATGTCATGCACAAGAGGCCAAAATAGGATGCTACTCGAGGTATGGTGAAAACATAGGTGTATAGCCTATATGAATATATAATAAACAACAATAACTAACAACATACAATGTCTATATAAAAAAGTTGAACAGTAAAATGCTGCTTGCACATTAAAACATCAACGATACTAATACAATAATACAGAATATGTAGTAATAAACACCCTGAAAAGGGTGATTCTGCTTAATACATACTTAATTACATTTTACAATATTTCTCCACTTTAAGTGGAGTGTTCTAATGCACAACTTCTATTTGTAATTGAGTATTTCTACACAATATAACTACTTTTACTTGAATAACACTGATCACCTCTTCCACCACTGCATGTTTGTTGATTCTGACACAGGATATATCTGACTAAGAGATCATAGTATTAAACCGCGGAAGCGGTTTTGACATATGTACCATTATATCAATATGTGGGTGTTAATATCAACTGTGTATCTATGCTGTCTCAGTATTTATCACAGTATACAGATATATTTAGCCACTACTGAGCTACATGACAGAAAGAAGAAAGCAAGACAGTTGTTTGTGTCAGAGGGGTTGTGTTCATTAAAGGGTTCCAGCAATTTACCATTGCATTTCCATAGAACTTCTTTTTACTTTTAGTCTGTAGAATGGGTCAAGCTCCAAAAATACTGGATACTACATTTCCCATGATGCAACTTAGTCATTTATTTTATTATTTGTCTTCAAAATGTCCCACAGTTCTGATCACTTTTAATCTTCGAGCCAAGGACTTCAAGGATATCATCAAAGGTAAACTAAGGTTTATTTAAAAAAACGTTGGAAAGCTTCTTCTGAGCCACAGATAACATTAAACTGTTCTCCTAGTTGACTGAGTAGAACTCATCATTTCTAATTAACTGAACATCATGTTTAAAATCAATAGAGGGCCCCTTTATGGCTGTGGCTCAGAGGTAGAGCGGAAGGTTGACGGTTCTATCCCCGGCTCCTCTCACTGCATGTCGAAGTGTCCTTGAGCAAGATACTGAACTCCAAATTGCTCCCGATGCCATATATCAGTGTATGACTGTGTGAATGCTTAGTTTTCGTTCTGGTGAGCAGCTGGCACATTGCATGGCAGCCACTGCTATCAGTGTATGAATGTGTGCAAATCGGGTGTGGCATGTAGTGTACAGCGCACTGAGTGGTCAAACGACTAGAAAGGCACTATATAAGTACAGTCCATTTACCATTTACCATTTACTTGTCTAAGGTTTGGAGCTAGCAATGTTGTGTGCATATAGTAATATTGTGCTATGTGATTTCAAAGAATATTAATTTCAATAAATACACATAGTAGATTATTGTAATTGTATAAAAATATGAGCTTATCTTTTTTTTTTTTTTCAAAATAAAACACCCAACACTCCAAACTATTTTAAAGTGAGAATATAACTTTTGAATGAAGAAAAAAAAAATATTTCCCTTACAAATGAGATGTTACATTAATTACCAACTAAACGCACCCTTGATCAATTAAATACAGTCCACAGTTTTGCTGCTACAGACTTACTTGGTCTGGTATGACCAGTAGTTTATGGTGGCTAATGTTAGCAGATGTTAGCAACCTTTAGATAGCTAGTTCACTGACTTTATGACTCTAGTCAACTGGAGCTTAACAGCATTTTCTATAATCTTATAGGCTCATATTAACTGTAAAACTATTTGACTATTACTGATTCTATCATATAAATGTGACTGTGGTAATAGCAGTTCAATCTGAGATTTTTGTAGCCAATAATATATATAATTTATTTTTGCATTAGAGACATTTTGTTCTCATAACTGAATTATAACTAGAGTGAATTAAGATGATGAAGATGTGAACCGTCAAATGTGCTCAATTTGCATGAAATACTAAGGCTCTTCTGTGGGATAAAAATCTTTCGGGTCTCAGTTGGATTGTAACCATAAACAGGCACAGAAGAAACAGACGTTCACAGAGATGTATGAGAGTAACAGGAAGCAAGAGGAAGACTTTCCCACCCTTCCTGCTCCCAAACTTCCCAGACTTATCCCACTGACTGATAATGAGCAACAGATTAAATGTCTGAAACGAGGTCACAGCTGACAGTCTGCAACAGTACTGTCTTACTTTTGACACAGTCAGCAGTCAGAGTTATTTTAGAGTTTTCCTCGGATAGCGTTGTCTTGCTTAATTGGGAAGATGAGAGGATTATAGGCCATTTGGGAAAGGAACAAAGCCCATCAAATATGTAGCACTGCAATTCATACCCTGTTAAACTGTGGTGCCATCTGTTGGCCAAATAAGTGAGTAGAAACTGAATAAACTTACAATACTGCCATCTTGTGTATATTTTTCCAAATAACATCATATCATCTTTAATCATTTTTTTTAAATATGTTCTTCTAAAAATTTAGTTTTTCAAAATAGAGCACAAAGTGAGGTCCACGCCAGGTAAAGTATAAGGTGTAATCTCATGTATTTTCAGTGCAAGTAATCCAGATGTCTTGTAGATGGCGAAAGCAGCCCACTGTGGATTTCAGAGAGAGGCTCTGTCAAAACAAGGCAGCCAAGACCAGAGCATGTGAACTTCCTCAAGACCCCCTCGTGTCATCATAGAGGCATGGATGGACCGTGACCCTTGACCTCCTTATCAGAGAAAAAAAAAACAAGTAAGTAAGTAAACAGCAACAACTACTGCCCACAAAGAGGCCTCAGGACAAATGTCTCTTCTTGCAGTGCCTGGTAGTGTCATCCCAGCACAGTCAATCAGCACTTCTTTGATGAAAAAAGAAATTCCATATCCAGTCCAAGAACAACAGCTTAGGAACTGCTGTGTGGTAATTCTTACTTGAACAAACCACAAACAAACATTGAAAGCTTCTCTTGACCTTTCAAATACACAAATCATGAAAATTCTGGCCTTAAATTAAAGTTTAAGGATTTTAATTTTGCAACATGTACCAAGTGAGAAATAAGGTTAAATAAAATAAGTATCAACATGTTCTGAAATTACTGAAATAAAGCATCACACAGGAAAGATGGCAATTTAACATTTTATTGTGGACTAATGAATGGGATAAATACTCCAGGGGCTTAAACACAGTTTATCCTGAATAGCCTAATTACGCCATTATAGATAGATCAATAGATAGACAGACTAAACAGACAGACAGACGGATTGATTGATTGATTGATATTGTACGTGAAAAGTACTATAGATCATTGTGAAGCGAGGTGACACTCACCTCCTCACCTCTGAATTCCCAACAATAAAAAAAGAAGACTAATGCCATGTTTATGCCTTTCGATGAAGGGATTTGACGGATTCTGAGGAAATACTTGCCATTACCTCTAAATCAGAATAATGTATTGGAAATTTGAGCAAAGATAATAACCACTGCTGGAACGAGTTTGTAATTCCCCGTCATTAATGTGGTAAACTGATCTAAAAGAATATTAAACAAGCTCAAAATCTCTATGCTTTGTTGAACTTTTCTGATGTGTACCCCTTCTTGAGGATAAGGTGTCATAGGTGTATTTGATTATTATTTGTAACATCTGCTCATCAGCGATTTTTTTTACACAGCCATTAGTTGGATTTAAAGATATTAATAGCAACAGGGCATGCCAGATAAGACCCACAAATAATGGTTCAGAGCCTGTAATGAAGTCAGTTAATGATGTATAATGGACTTTATGCAATATTTGTTGAAATTTCCAAATAATTTCTGATTAAAACTTAATGTTGTTTATATATCAGTTCATTTGTATCTGTTTATTTTGTCACGAAGTAATACCTGCCATTCAACATTCATGTTGGCTACATACAGTAATTGAATCGGTCTGTTGTTAAGTAGTAGTGATGATTTGAATTAACTATAAAGATGGAAATTTCCCCTCCGAGAAAGTGGCCCTATAAATAAGTGACCGCAATCAGTTAACTGTTTATTACAATACAATTGCAATACAACAGAAGGCTATTGGATCAGCTTTACTTGGTATTGAGTTCAGATCACTCTTTTTTGTTCAGTTAGTCATTTAGTTAATTGGTTACAGCTTTCATTGGAAAATAGCTCTGGATGTGAAAGATTGCCTTATTAAGTCAGTGAAAATATCAAGACACCTTATGTAAGCACTCTGATGAACTTATTTTTAAATCCCTGATGTGCTACTGACGTAAATAAGTAAACTACTATA